AGGTCAGGGCAGCAGGGACTCGCACTTTAGTTACATTTTTCATTTCTCAAGGGGAATTCAGTGTGGAGAATCCATTTTCTCAGCAAACAACTGATTTTTTCCTTCAAGCTTGAAAAAACATCACAGCTTTTCACACCAGGCTGCTTTCAGATTTTTGTTTGCTTGTTTCAGGATATTTCTCTGTAACCTAAAAGCATCACTTTCACCAAATGGTTAGCTCTTTTTTTTTTTACACTCCTGGAAGTTTCGTGCATAAAACTTGCAGATAATTTCCCCACTTTTAATTTTATGCAAAAATTTTATTCGAGCTATTTTGTTCTTCAAAGATTTGGTGATGTTTCTGGTTCGTTTCCCGCCAAAATAAAAGGAGCGTTCATAACYCAGTGTGGCAGGTGATTCTGTAAGTGTTTATGTTAGCAAAATATCTCATGAAACAGTTGATAAAGTAGGTGTATGTCTACAACTTTTCAAGCAAGGCGCCACCACTAATCATACCCAACCCAACACAGCGCTAACAAGCTAAGCTAATATTTAACGTAATGTTGATCAATGGGTTTTGATTTGTTTTGTTATTTCCATAAAAAGGAAGAACAAAGACACAAAAGTCAGAGAGGTTGACATTTTCGGGTGATTTCCTTTTTTTTTTGGGCAGATAAACTGAAGTTTCACAGAAAGCTTGTTCTTCCAGTTTCCCCTTTTTTTCATGGCTAAAATGCCAGCTTTACAGAGAATGTCACGCTGTTTGATAAACGCACACAGAAAGGTTCCAGCCCATTGTTCTCCATGGTGCGTGCTAATCGGTCATTTCCTCCGACAAAAACAGGAAAAGAATACAAGATCTCTTTATCCCGCTGTGGGGGCCCTGCAAGCCAAGTAGGCACGCTGGAAATAAAACTCCGATCTCTTCATTTCCTCCCTCCCTTTGCATTCGTCAAACTAAAATGCCAAAACAGGCCTCCACCCAACACGAAGCGCGAGCACCTTTTCATTAGCAATTATAGTGTTTTCCTCAAGCTGGCAGCAGCTGGGAGAGAGGAAGCTTATAATGTAGGCTTTTTCTGAAGGCTCCTGCTTGGAACTATCATTACTCCCTGCTCGTGGCGTTAGAGCTGCCAGCCGCTGACTGGTCTAATATATACCACACAGCATGTGAACTCCACTCCCACCTCCCCCCCTTACAGCAAACAAGCTGAGGTCAGAAGTGAATCACTACACACCCCGCTATAACAAATGGCTGAGATCAAATCTGGCTAAAACGCTGACAGAGGAAGTTTGAGAACATTTCTTCTGGGCTTCTGTCCTTTTAAAAGATGCAGTTCTGTGAGTCTATAGAATAGTAAATGAGTGGGTGGGAAAAAGGCCTTAGCTTGTATTGTTGATCTGTTTGACTCACGCAGTCCTGGGCTCATTTTCATTAAGTCGATGCGCACCCAGCAGATTGTGCATCAGCCCTACAAGCAGTAAACGCCAGAAGAATCTTCGCAGAGAATAATTACCTGAGTCACCACCACCGAGTAACAAATCAGCCACACTTCCTGCACGATGACGCAAGCTCCTACCAGATAAGATGCATAAAACGATTGCAGCAGGGGTAATCTCTTGTTTTGGTTTGAACAGATATTAAGGCAAACTGTGTGCAGTGGTGCATGTTTGATCTGCAAGTGAAATAAACAGGTTAAACCAGGGGMMTCAAACATTTYTTTTACAGAGAGCCACATGAGTGTGGTGGTCCTCAAAGGGCCAGTTGTAAGTATTCATGMTTTACTTCGACTAAACATAAAACGTCATGTTCCTCATCTCATCGCTATGGATGAGCACCGCTAACCATAACTGAGCTCCACATGGTATTTCCTGCATGGAAACAGTGTTTTAACACGTTCACGTATAAACACTGAAAAGTACTACGTGTACGACTGACGAGATAAGAAATACATAATACAGAAATACTATTAACATTAAAACGTAAAAGTTTTACTCACTGATGAGCCGTGGTGAGTAGCTGCCATCTTTGAATTCGTAACCCTCCCATTTTCCAACAGTGAACTCCCACTACATGGGCATTCCAGTTTAAATTTACAAATTTTAAGTGGGGAATTCCCGCTTCCCAGTACATCTGGGTCACAGCAAAAATGCAGCTAAATGTAGATTTTACACAGTGATTTTCACAGGATTCTGGCTACTTTTGAATCCTGAGCTCCTGCACCTAGTGGTGGGATGCCGTRGTTTTGCGGGTAAAATAATCGACATGCATTACGGGAGATGGAGTTTATGGTCAATGCTGGCTTTAAAGCAGGTTTATTTTGAGATGTTGATAAAGGACTGTTCACCAAAATTGCTCAGGGAGCCACAATTATGCAAAAGCCAACACATTCTCATGTCAGACTCGCCAACAAATTGATGCTTGYGAAGGACCGTCTGCATCCAGTTTTGATGCGTTGGGTACCCCCCGCGCGTCCGTCCTCACCGCCCGCGGATTTCCCGGGTTGCATCACTTAGGGGTCTTTGGGTCGGGGGTCTGAGGTTAACATGAGGGATCAGGATTAATGGTTAACTGGAGATACTGGGGTCAGGGTAGGGCTGCCACAATCAATTAATCAACGACTGATTATTAAAATAGTCGATGACTAATTTAATAATCGATTAATCCTTTTCTTTTTTTTGTTCTTTACTTTGTTTTTCTCTTCAAACTGCTTTGACACTTTCCACTGCCACATCTACCTTTCTGTCCTTGACACACATGCACAGTAGTGGTTACTGGGGTAGGCCGTGGACGTCACAAGACATTATACAGACAGGCTCTGGGATCATGGTTACCCAGCAATGGAGCTCCAAAGTGTGGGATCATTTTAAGAAAATGAAAGAGAAACCTGTGTAATATCTGTAAAGGCAGAACTTGCCTTCCACAGCAATTATTTTTAGTTAGCATATAGCTAAAATCTAACCATGGTTATATAATAGCAGCTGCTGTCTGGCGCAATAAGCTGTATGTTTATATTCAATTAACGTATGATCCGATTAGTCAACTAATCGAAAAAATAATCGGTGATTAATCGATTATAAAAATAATCGTTTGTGGCAGCCCTAGGTCAGGGATGGGCTGTATATAGCTGATATAGGTTAAATTTAGGGTCTGGAACGGTTAGTTCTCGCAAATTTTCTACATGAGGGATCAGGGTTAATGGTTAATTTTAGGGTCTGCGGTCAGGGATAGGCTGTATAAAACTAATAGAAGTTAAATTTAGGATCTGGGATGGTAAGTTTCGCCCATTTCCTACTCTTGTAAAAAAATATGACAACGCGCTCGTCCTCCTCCGCCTCATCTCATAAAGAACGGACGTGCGGGGGCTACCTGGCGTGTCCGAAAGTGGATGCAGACGGCTACCTGACCAAGCGTCAATATGTTGATGGGGGGGGGGGGGGCATAAAGGGCTCGACACACGGGACGCGACGTCGCTCGCTCTCCATTCATTTCCTATGGAGCCTGTGCGGTGAGGCGACAATCGCTTGCCCTCCTCCAGCTAAGCGAATGGCGAAAATAGTGCATGTGAAATTTCACGCTCGTACACGTAGACGTGCACACGCGAGCTTGCGACACGACATATGAAAGTTGAAAAATGTTCAACTTTTGTCACTGTCGCTTAGCGTACAACCAATCAGCGAGGGTTTCATTGACTGACCAATGAGAGGAGAGTATGCTACACACTGCTGTTAGCTAACACTTTCACCAAGTGATTACTAAAAAGCTTTGTGGGAATTTATTGGCACCAGGGTGAAGTTTATGGTAATTTTTTCCTCATAAAACTGTATCTTGATGTGTGTTTGTTTTTCAATGTCATTAGCATCACAAGATTTGTTTAGTTTACACGTCCGTAATGCACACCCGCCTTCAGAGTCAAGAACCAATCAAATTTTGTGAAGACAAGCGATCTGAGAGCGTGATTCGCAACACTGCGATCGCTATCATGTCCCGTGTGTCGGGTTTCACCCTGGCTGCGATGACAGCCGTTAATCGCTGTAGTTTGTCGCTCCCCYTGTGTCGAGCCCTTAAGAATGCGTTGGCAAAGCCAACAGCTCAGTGTCAAGCCTAGCTCCTTTTCAAATTTATTTGTTTTATTGCATTGAATAGTAAATTTAAAGTTTACGATTGTTTTAAAATCTATTACTATATTAAATTAAGTAAAAAAAAATAGAGAAAACTTCTGTCTGACCCACTTCATTTGTGGGCCAGACGGAAGTCACCCATGGGCCACATTTGGCCCACAGGCCTTGACTTTGACACATGGTTTAAATAGTGTAAACGGAAGAAATGTAAGATTTTCACACAACTCTAGAGTTCATTAAAGTACTGCTGCAAGTTTCAGCTCCAATTCTCCCTGGCTGCATGTGATTGTGATGGACAGAGATGAGTCACGTGACGTGGACCCATAAACCCTGACCGCTCTATAATAAACAGGATCTGAGGGGCAGGACAAAAAGCTGGTCCGACCAGACCTCATTAGTCCCTTTAATCCCAGCTCCTGCACAGTCAGACCTGTCTGCCCCTCACCTGCCCACCTCCCCAAACTTAGCTCCTTTTTTTTTTTTTTTTTTTTTTTTTTTTTTTTTTTTTTTTTTTTTTTTTTTTTGTCGTCGCGCTCCTGGAGCCTTTTTTTTTTTAATTGCGCGCCTGATCCAGATCTGTAGACAGGGCATATTACCGAGGAGCTTACGTAACAGCGGGGTTTGTGAGCGCCCGACGCGCACAAGTAACGCTGTTTTGCGCCTAAAAACGCCGGAACCCAAGAGTTTAAACAGCGAGCTCTCCACAGAACCGACAGGGGGGGTTTATGGCACCGAATGGTGACAGGCGGGGAGCCGGGATCCGCGGAGACCCTGGCGCTCAGAAAGCCACAAACCTCCGCCGCGCTGGACATAATCCTGAAGTTCGATCTAAAAAAGCCGACATGAGGGATTTTAAATCCCTCTGAGGGGGTAAATGTCAAAGCAGCGAGCCTCCTTACCTCTCTCCAGTGTGAGCGGCTGGACCACTGTCGCCATGACTGCTGTTTACTGGAGACTGAGGAGAGGAGAGGAGCTGCAGCATCACAGAGAGGAGAGGAGAGGAGAGAGGGAGGCTGGGAGTGGTTCCACACCACGATCAGTCCACCTCCATCCTCCTCATCACCTGCCTCTCTCTGCCGTCCTTACAGCTCAGGAGGAGATGTTTTCATCCAATCTATAGTTTTTAATCGACATAAAAAGAGGCAGGGAACCCCTGCAGTTTAAAGCTGTAGCTTTATAAAAACAAACTGTTGAAATAAAACCACTAAACTACTGAAATATAACTAAATCACTTATTAAAGAGGTAAATGTCAACCATTTTTACTTAAGTTGAATTAGATTATTTACCACCACCCCCAAAAGGCCTAATTTAAAGTTTCATTGTTTTCCTTCACAGGTTAGTTTGKACTTGTTTAAAGGGATAGTCTGTGTAGTTATCAGTGACAATACACTGCAAAAACATGGCCATCCAAAAATAAATTTAACTATACATTGTGTCGATCTTCTCAAATTAAGTGAAATAATCTGTAAGACAATTAAAAGATTAATAACCAAACATTCAAAACCCAATCAAAAATACTTTGGTTGGATATAAGATTCTTAGGCTTAAAAAACACTTCCTTCCCCCAAAACAATACTGCGAAATAATGCTGCATTAGCAGTTCCTCTGCACTTTTACATGATGTGCTTGTTGTTGTTTTTGCTACCAATAGGGTTTCCTTTGGGAAAGTATGTGCTCTGAGCATAGTGGATTTTTGCAAATGGTATCACTCGTCCTGATCAGCCCACCATAGTTTTGCAAATTTTTAGACAAGCTACATACAGTTAAAGGGAGTGTTATGTATTTTTTAAACAAATCAAAACACCTTGAAATTCGCCTCTGTCTCTTTAAGAAGCTCCTACCAAAGGTAGGAGGTTCTTAACCCCTTTGAGGTTGAGGTAGGGGTGATCTGTGGGGAGGGTGCTCGGCTGCAGACTGAGCTCCAGGGGAGGGGCTTTATGTAATGAGGCGGAGCTTTGTAGCAATGAGGGTTTAGGCAGCTCCATAGGAGACCGCATTTTTCAGCTCATCCACCCCCTCCTGTTGGAACAGTGGGTTTCAGTAACTGTCAAAATATCATTTTTAGACTTGTGTTTAAGATTTAGCTGACACGCCAGAACCTCTCTGAGCGTTGAAGTAGGATGTTATTGGATTTTTCATTAACAAGATCAAAACGACCAAAACCAACATTGGACCAAAACACCACCTTTGGACCAAGTGCATCATAACGTGAAATAAAAACAACAACAACAACAAAAATCTACATTTTAAAGCAGGGGTGTCAAACTCCAGTCCTCGAGGGCCACTATCCTGCATGTTTTAGAGGTTTTCCAGCTCCAACACACCTGATTCAGTGARTGAATTAACTCTTCAAATTGGGCAGAAGCCTGTTAATCATCCAGCGATCAAAATCAGGTGTGTTGGAGCAAGAAAACCTCTAAAACATGCAGGATAGCGGCCCTCGAGGACTGGAGTTTGACACCCCTGCCTTAGGTCTTACATCTGGCGCAGATAGTGAGGGCGCTGTTAACATAGCGTCAGATCTAATAATATTAGGCACAAATTCTTTTGCTTTTGGATTGATTTCAGTGCACCTTTGTTCTTTGAGTCTTTTGCTGACGTAAGAGTTCATCCCATTGGACACTACTTTGGATTTTCCTCCAATGCTACTGCCTCCCAACACAGAAAGACGTGCAGCAGCAGCAGCTATTTGTGCTTCTATTTCCACCTGCTCCTTTTGTTGACGTATTTTATCAGCTTCCAATCTATGTCTTTGCTCTTGTTCCTCCAATTCATGTTTCTTCTTTAAAGCTTCCGCTTTCGCCAATAAAGCTGCTTGATCAGCCAGGGCTTGTTTACGAGCGGAGGATGTGCTGGACGCAGAACTGCGTTTAGAGCGCACACTTGTAATA